ACTATTGCCTGGGGCAAGACGCCACACTTTGCTTATCACGGCTGGGCTAGACCTTTCTGGATGTCTTGATGCCTCAAAGTAATCCACATTTCTTTGTTTTTCAAAGCAATAAAGTAGATATTCCCGCCCATGAAAATTCTAAATTCCGATTTGAACATATCCTTGTGATCCGAGTGTATTTTGCGTAGTAAAGGGTTGTTACGTGTTCTTCTCAAAAGTGATCAAAACACAAAATGTCAAAAATGTAGCTTTTACATATGCCGTTCCACCGCGATTTTATATCGGCTGTGGTTATTACGTGACTTAGTGATATGCAAATTCGAAATATTTTTAACATAACGAATTCAACTCTGAATTTTAACTGATTGGATAGATGTTCATATATCAAGAAGATAATGACCTTAAACACACTTCCAAGAAACTTCGAACTTATTTGGAAAAGAAAGAAAGCTCAGGAGATCTCTGGCGAATGAAATAATCGCCACAAAGTCCAGATCTTAACTCCATAGGAAAAATCTGAAATTTTGTGGTTCAATATTTAACAAAATTGCCAACTGTACGAAAGAAAACCTATATGTAAGGCTTTAAGCTAAATTACACCAGAGACTTTGAGACACAATGCCACATAATGCCAAGCTGTTACTGGTATCAAAGGCGGACACACTAAATATTAGCATCAAAGAAACTTAAACATTATCTGTGTACTAATTTTGTGATAGTTTCCTACATGATTAATTTACAATAATTAGAAGTTGATTGCCGTAGCAAATCAGTATATGTATCAGTATCTGGTGCTTATAAAATCACAACTGTTGAGATGCTGTAGTAACAAATAATACTACACACACACACACAGTTTTTTCGTGTACTTCATTCCTGTGACTTTTAGCAAATGTAACTAAATCAACTGACTTAGATATACACACGTATATATAATCTTTTTCATATGTGGTGACTGTGAAGAGTCTAAGGGTACAGGCTGGGTTTGATGACAATTGGCCCAGCGGTTCGACAATTAAAAGCGGACACACATACACACAGTCTTTTGTCAAATAATGGTTTTAGATTATATATATAGTTGTCAATCTGTTTCTGTTTTTTGCATGTTTCTGTAATTATGCATAATTTCCTGTGTGCGTTTTCTTTTCTTTCTTTTTTTTTATTTATTTCACCTTGTCTCTAATGGCTTCTCCACGAGAGTTCGAACATTATTTTTTCTTGATTTTAGATTCCCCTGTGCTCAGAAAGAAGATATGAGTGTCGTAGTCACCGAGAGCTCTAAGAACATGCATCATACATATTACCACATTCGCTTTGTACAACTGCCGATAGAGCGAGCTTACCTTTCTGTTCATTGTGCCATGGAGAAATAAAAGCTTATCCCGCATTCATTCCATCGAGACTTAACTGCTTTAACTTAATGGAATGACGTTGTTTGGATAAGAAGGAAGATGCTTTACCCTCTCTATCTGAGACTTCTTTAGTACATTATATAATACAAAAAAAATCTCGTCGTTTTCCCATTAGAGAAGAAAACGAAGATTGCGTTGCAGTGTTTGGAAAGACGCGTATAGGAAGAAACACTAAGCTTTAAAGAAAATCTTTCATAGAGACATCTAATGTCTTTGCATTTTTCTCTTGTTTCATCACTCTAATGACTTTTTTGTGTGCTTCACATCAGCACAATAATCTGCAAAGCACATTAAATACAAAATTAAGGATTCAATATTGATCCATTATATGGTTCACCCACATAGTTAGTATTATGTGCAGGATCGTTAAATATTCGAAATAGCAATCGCACGGCGTGATTCTACCATTTGCTGTACTTTCGTTCTTTGACTTTCACTGGTTTCTGAAAATGATGCTGTAGTATATGTATTATCTACATATGCTTTTATATATTTATATCCATGAATACACAAAAAACCGAACGCGCTTCTGTATGTTTTTTCTTTTTTTTTACACAGATGGAACAGTGATACGTATATTTGTTTGTATTTTCTGTTAATTTTAGAAGGTGTTAATGTAATACCCGCTTACTTGCGTATGTGTTCTGTAATAAAATATTCAATAAATACTGTTATCCTGACTTCAAACTCTTCTGTTGCAAGAACTACTAAACATAGAAACTTGTATAGCTTTGCAAACATTCCTACTGCAATAGTACTTTTACAATCATATTTTTCATTTCTTGCATTGTGTTCTTCTATTGTACCCGTAGTATGTGATCAATCTAATTTATTATATGTGTAACTAGCTTGGCATAAATCAAATCATAGTAGTATTCTCCAGGTGTGTAAGATACAAATGTTAATTTTATCACTATGAGTTGTAACTGCCAATTATTTACTCGTGTCTTGGGCCCGGCATGGCCAGGTGGTTAAGGCGCTCGACTCGCAATCTGAGGGTCGCGGGTTCGAATCCTCTTCACACCAAACATGCTCGCCCTTTCAGCCGTGGGGGCGTTATAATGTGACGGTCAATCCCACTATTCGTTGGTAAAAGAGTAGCCCAAGAGTTGGCGGTAGGTGGTGATGACTAGCTGCCTTCCCTCTAGTCTTACACTGTTAAATTAGGGACGGCTAGCGCAGATAGCCCTCGTGTAGCTTTGCGCGAAATTCAAAACAAACAAACTAATTTCTTGAATTTTATACAAGTTTCAGTTTAGTAACTCGAATAGATATCAAATTTCTGTCTACCCTTGTGTATATCTCTAACGGTAACTCGCATCAAGGACACGAAGTGTATGTCCATCTGTAGTATGAAGCCATTTACTGTGTTCCTGAAAGTTTTTAATGAAGAATGCTTCTTGAGGAACAAAGTGTGTCAAAAGTATAAATTGTTCGCTTGCTATATATTATAGGTTGGCGGGAGAAGTCACGCATCACTAAAGCTTCTGTAGCAAAGATCGGCTAATTCGACACGTACATCTTAGTAATTGCTGTATGGCGAAAAGAGGATTATTTTTGATGAACTGTCCACCCTCTTGTGCGGGAAATTCGATTTAGTGGGCAAGCTGGCTACCCGTGATCTAGTTAGATTCGGTAATAAGTCAGCCTTCACATACTTCCTAAATAGTAATCTAACGTCTAACTGGATTGCAATCGATGTAGGTTTCCAGTTACTCACGCCGTTCTTCTTCTTCCATGCGTAAAAAAAAAACCCATGTAATGAATGATCACCAATCGATTGATCTTAAAACCAAACCTTCCTCTTCAAGACCCAGCAGCTTATTACTTGTAAAGCGCCCTCACTAATCAAAAGAAATAATTTTAATGCTTTATATAATTGCAAAATGTTATACATAGGATGTAAGGTAATTCACTGCGACTCCCATTACAGTATTTGGAAAATAATTAAAATCTTAGAGTGATGACCATGCTTATTTTTGTAATCAAGTTCTGCATACTGACCACAAGTATCTAATTGTAAAGCTAAAAAAAAGGGGGGGGGGTAATGAAATAAAAAGAAGCAATTATAGTCTCGCACATAATACATATAAGTTATGTGATAAAGTTTATGATTAAGTCCGTTTATTGCTTTAACGTTATAATAAATATTTCGCGGCAGATAGAACCATTAAACCAGTTGGAATAAAACGAGTGAACACAATGGAGCATAATAACATATGCTTTTTTTGTTTAGTTTTACTAGCTTTATGTATTTACTGTCCGCCCGTTCAGCATCGCCACAGATTTTTCTATAGAACTGTGTTTGTTTGTTGTTAAACACGCAGCTACACATTGGTTCGGAAAAAAAATATGGAAATACAAATTTATCAAGTTCAAACTATATAGGCTGTATGCTACGCATACTGTTCTGTTACAGCTTTTGTTTATAAGGTTATTACTTTTTCTGTAGTGACGCTTTTTATACCCAGTACATATTCAGAGAATATGTTAATTTCATCGAGTTTTTAGTTTAGAGTGCATTTGTATGAAAAACAAAGATTATCATCGAAAGGAAGATACACTTAACATATGCTTGGTTACCAGCATGGTAGTTTTGATTGGCTCCAACTGAGTTATTTTAAAATGCATCAATCCAGCTCCTCCCGGTAGCTCAGGGGTAAACTTATGACGGTCAAAATCGTGGCTCGATACCCACGGCACAGATATCCCATTGTGTGAGTTTGTGCTCAGAAAAGGAAAAGTATTGTCTACAGGAAAGAGTTATTCTACACCGAATGCTTTAAATAAATAGTCTAGTAGTGTGCAAATTTATGTAAAATAAGCATTTTATAATCTTCTATTTCACAATGACTAGTGTATCATTATTTCCATCAGGCTCTTCATTATATTTTTTAACTGCAAGTATAAGAGTGGATTTATATATTTACGAATTAGTTTCAACACATTCTAATCTCTTATTATTTTTATTTCATGAAAAAAAAACAAGTCTCATCGCTTCGTAAACTACTGATATAAGTACCTTTCAAATAGGACTTTGCATGTTGTAACCTAGCCAGCTTTATGAGTTCTGGTAGTGTGCGAAAGCTCTTGTTGGCAGCAGCTTATAACAAAAAGGAATAGTTGAAATATTATTATACGTTTATTTTTACTGGAAATCCTACTGGGCCAGTCGCGAATAATTGTGGTGTAATGTTACACATGCTTGTTTCTTTTACGTTCTTAATTATGTTATGTGGTTAGACATCATTATGGAATATTGTGCTCAAGGGATGAATATATAAAATTTTAAATTAAGACAAAACATTTCATGTTGTAAAATGTTTATTTCTTTTGTAACTGTATCTTTAAAGCTTTTAATTATGTGTGAAAATAGTTTAATCAAATACTTCACTTAGCTTTGATATAATCACTTATGGATTCTTATCTAGAAAATTAAGTATTAACAGCAATTTCACTTTATCAACTGGGAAACAATTTTTCTTTCACTTAAAAGTTAAATGTTTTTTAAAGCGTCACCTATATTTTTTTATTTATAAAACTACCGGTTAATGGTTTAATTCTGTGGTTTCCATCTTAATATTGTAGACCGAAATCGCCAAGAGACTTAACGCCATCATCGCCCAGATTCTGCCGTTTCTGTCTCAAGAGGTTAGTACATTTGTTTTAAATTAAAAATATAAAATGTAATGCTGTAAAAGGATGTTTAATTAAAATTAATCAAGCAATTTGCTGTTTTTTGGAGAAGTAAGTTATACCGTCTGCAAACACTGATTTCTTAGTATTTCAATTTCCTTGAAAACATTCAGTTAATTGTCTTGAATACTATTATTTAAACATCTTTGTTTCCATTCGGTTTCCATACCGACCACAATTGTATCGTAGTGTATAACAAGAGCTTATTCACTGTATATATTCTAGTTAATTACCTGTAAGTAGGTTTTATACTGTTTAGTAATCGAATCTTTTCATATGACCTTTATTTTCGATCAACTTTATTGATATATTTGTCATTAAAAGTATCCTTCCATGGAATTTGACTGTCACTTTTATAGCACACCTACAATCCCAAAGTGCGGGGCGCGTTTTCTGCGGCAACGGGACGCCAACAACGAACCATCGGATCTCAAGAACAAGGATACTTACTTCTTCTGTAAAATAAAACATTTATGTTTCTTGTATCTCGAGGAACAGCTCCAAAATGTTTTCCATGTTTTATTTCAACAAGAATCAAACTTTAAATATCCAAAACATCTTTTCTGTTGATAAAAATACGTTAAATTCACTCTGAGGACACGACCGATGAAGATCCTTTATCCTGATCACATGTTCCTCATTCCTTTACTGTGATCTTATCCTCTTAACCAGTTCTTCGTATTTGAATGTTTTATAACGCTGTCGCTGTATTTGTTAATTATTTGTTCTTTACTGTTAACTTACTTAATGTTTTAAATGTATTTGGGAATTTCCAAGGCATTCATGTAGTATTGTAGTCGTAACATCTAACGTCAGTTCCTTTGTTTCATATTTTATTTTTTATTCGTCACCTTTAAAGCTTTCTAAACCATTCACTCCCACGTTCAGTTTTTCTTTACTTGATCCGATTTTCACGGCTGTAAACTTGTATTCTTAGTTGTTGGTTTCCGCTTCCATACCCTGTTTGAGCTCTTTTTTTTTCGTTCAAAAGATACAGCGGCATTCTAAGCTATCTCTTTGGCCAACGAATTTGCTTCTTGGTCAATATTGACCAAAAACGCAACCAATAGTCAATAAAAAAATAAATAGTGGTTCGAATGTTTGGATCGACAGAAGTGGCGTTTTCTTCCAGATTTGTTCCGGTACGTGTAGCATGCTTATTCATCTAACTCTTGACCTTGTTCTCAGTGGAGCTATGTTTACTTTGAACAAGACGAATGACTTTTTCTCCTTGATTTAAGGCTGAACTGTTTACTGTAAAAAACAAACGAAATATAAAAGAATTTACGCCCAGGTAGCACTTAGAGTGGTTTCGTGATTCACTGCTGAAAAGCAGTTCTTTGCATGTGTATCTGTTTTCGGAGTAGTACTCTATTGCAGTTTTAAGCTTCTTATTTGTAATACACGTATGTAAAATAAAGAACCATTAGTAGCGTAACAAAGAGGAAATGAAGTTTTCAAATTTTTTCGCCATTATTTCCAATATCGGTTTTCGTGATATTAACACAGGCGTGCACAGCACTGCCGTAGTTATCTAAACCATTCCAAGTAGTCAAAATGTTGTAAATGTAATTATGAAAATACAGTTAGACATTGTAATTGTAATCTATATATTCTGGTGCTTTCAGTATATAGCAGTAAGATAAGCGTAGTTTCTTGTTTAATGGTAAAGTTGTGTGTGTTGACAAAACAAAAATATCAGAAACACCCTTGGTTTTAGTAAGGATATATTTAATATTTTCTTAAATAAAACGTTTAAGATATGTGTAGCAAGACGTTGCAAATATTTTGTTGAGCTTTGAAAAATACTTTTTCTGGTTTTGTTTGAAAACTAGAACATGACACAAAAGACTGAACAATAAAAAAAATGAAATATTTAAAGAAGAAATCATGAATGTGTAAGAAAACATTTGAAACAATTCAAAGTTATTTGTTATATATATTAGAAATAATATTTGTTGAGATTTTTGTATGTAAAGAATACAACGTTTACAAGGATACTCGTTAGTTGAGAGCTATGTAGGTAGTTGGTTTAGATCAGAAAATTTTGATAATAGCTAACGTGTGTCAATTATTGTGCATTAAAATATATAGCAAAATAGAATATATTATGAGTGTTACCATATCAGCTCATTTAGTTTCATTAACAGCTATTAAAACTTTATATCGAACAAAAGGGGGGGGGGTGATTTATGGACGTATATCATTTTATATTCTGTATTTCTAATATTACATTAAAGATAGTAAATTGTATTTATTTGGTTGATTTGTACTTGCTTATTTTATTGTATAACAAAGTATAAAATTTCGATGAATTGATTAAATTGTAATAAATTACCTTACTTTAGGGAATCGTAATTTTTATACAGGAACATAATGAACACTAATGCCGATAAAAATTACAATGGACAAGCTACACAAAATTCTGATGAAACAACAGAAAATTGCATTTTGTTTGCTTGTAATTTATAAATTTACCCCTATAGCCTCTTTCTGATCTAATTTAGTGAAAAAACATTTCCACAGAATGTATTTTAAGTATGTTTCTTTTTCACTGTCGCTGGTGATATGTTACGGAAATTTCTGATAGTTGGTATACATAATTTTTAACGAGGATACCTCAGCATACACAGTTTGTTTATATTTTTATATACTTTTCTTTTTGACACCACAGGTACTCACTAAGAAATTTAGGGCTATGAGATTATCAAAATTCTAATGTTGTTTTAATACAGCTCTCACAATTTTGGAAGTTTGCTGTCGTGGAATTTAACAAAGCGAAGATTAAATCACATATATATAAATATACATATAACATGCATATATCAGGTTTTAGAGTATGAGTTAGATTGAGTACAAGTCTTATTAAAGCCATAGGATCAAATAAATAAAGTGTAATTTCACGCATTTTAGAAAATTTCATCAATAGGGGGAAAATTTACAGTTCGCCTTTTTGACTTAAATTTAGAATCAGCACTAAATTATATTTAGGATAGAATATTCGCACATGCTTATTATATATATTCAAAATATATATAATACTTTTAAATAAAAATCAACATTAGTTCTCAATTAGAACTTTGTTCTTCACAACAAAATGTTCTGCCAAAGAATATGATGTATTAAACAAGATTTTGTGCTGTATGATGTAGTTCTTTAAGAGTTGATACGTTCGTAACTTTGTATTAGCGTACAGTCCCATTGTCTGGAACATCCATATTTACTTGTTTTCTGTTGTTGTTTTTATCAAGGATGTACACAATGGGAATTTTTTTTGGAAAAGTTACTTACTATCGACAAGTTCATAACGGCGTGGGAAATAAAACAGATACAACTGTTACTTGAATGCCTGAAGAGCATATTATTTAATATTTGTAAACAAAGAGTAATTAGGATTCTAAAAAAAAAAAGAAGCAAAGCTATAAATGGATGTAACTTACGGAAAAAGAACATATCTTGGAAAATGTGCTCGATTCTTTCCAAAGTTATTCATGTTAGCTTTCAGTTAATTTTGATACTTTAATGTCGTAACGTTGAAACGTTATGTCGCCGTATTTTCAGTTTTTATATACGTTTATTGTCTGAGTGCATATGTCAAAAAGCAGTTAAAACAAAATATGTAACTCATTTCTATATAATCCACATAAAAATTTGTGTTCTGCTTTTTGAGCGACACTTAAGTACTAGTTTTGTTTTGCGTGTATATTTTTAGCATCAACAACAAGTTGCAGCTGCAGTTGAGAGGGCCAAGCAAGTCACCATGACTGAACTGAACGCGATAATTGGGGTAAGTTTTAACTGAAGTATTGATTTTTTCTTCTTCTTCTGTTTCTTACTAACTTTGATACACCTTAGGGAAAACTGGAAACTATACAACTAGTGTTTAGTCATTTTACACTGGTAACTAGAGTATCATTGGTGACATCACCAAATGAAGTTCTAAGCTCTTTCAGCGGCTCATTAATTCTTTGATGAGCTGGTTCGTGGACTTGAAGTGTGACGCTTTTCTGTGGCTATCAGGTTCTTCTTTCCTTGTTTTTCTGTCCTCCTTGTTAACAGCTCCGGGAAGTGTCAACAGTATCACATGGGATGATGGGAACTTTTCAGTTTATACCTCGCCTCGAAGCTGTACAGGCTTCTACATCTATTTGCAGTCGTATTTCACCCCATTTCTGGAAGCTAGTCCATTTCTTTCCTTATTGAAGATTACTTCATGGAATTAAAAGTTTATTTGCTGAAACGTTTTATGGCCAAAAATGTCTATATAACTATATAACCAACAAAGAAACCATAAAAAATTATCATGACGGCTAAGCTTTTTTCTTTTCACACAATACAAAAATCGACCCAGTAATTGTTATAAACCTTGCTGTAGAAAATTTGTGTATTTACAAAGAAGTGGTAAAGTCATCCCAAAAACCAATATCTAGCTAGTTTTTTCTTCTCCATCAGCACACCATTCGGAAAATTCGCGTACTTCTGAACAGTTTTAAAATATGCCACCTTTCAGGTCCAGGGATTGAAATCCATAACATTTTAACTCAACTGGGGTAAAAAAAAATCAAGCAAAAAAAAAAAAACAGTTGAAACTTTAAATGCAAAACTACAATATATTATTATTCAGGAATAGCGAACTTGCTTGGTTCAAATAAAATAAACAGGAAAGCATATTCAAGCAAAATTTTCAATAATGTAAAATACTGTTCTCTTTGTATATCACTTTATTAATAATCCTGTATAGCGAAGTAACGAAAAAGCATAAAACAGTTGATGTTAAAATATATTTGAACATGGTTCACCGAGTGAATGAATAGATTCTTTCCTGCTAAGGTTCATATTTAATTACATTTATTGACCAAATGTTCCAGTACAAGTTGTTTCGTTTTGTTACTTGTCACTGGCTGGTCTTATTCATATCCAGAACACAATCATTAAGTATATTAATACAAAATTTTGATAGGTTAAAAATTCATTTCAAACTAAGTACTTAGACGTTGGTGGAAATAATACTGCATTGATTTTTTTTTTCTGGCAGAGGGTCCTTTGGTTTGGAAAATTAGTTCCTAGATACTGCAGTGCCTCGGGTATCGTTAAGTCGCATGAATGACTACTTGAATGGTGACGTGGCAGCAGTGAAGCGTTACCTACAGAAGCACGTACATACACACATGTGATATATATATATATATATATATATTACGAACAAAATACAGAAAGACGTATTTGCACCGCTGTTCAGTCGCCCGTGTGACTCTTTTGGTTGATGATCCCATCAGTTTTAACTTCGCTTGACTAGATTTACAGACGGCGAGTTTTCCACCGTTTATCTTTCTTGAAACTTATACAAACTGACTAGTTCATGAACTGAAACTATCTGCAGAGCTCGTAAACTTGTCGAGAGAATAGGTATTTATTAATGAAAGCGTGATTTAAATCTAGCTTCCCACTGTCGTTATGTTTACTAAAACCCACACTACCTATTTCATTACTGTTTCTTTTTTATTATTTGTAATGAAGAACACCACACATTATTTGAAGCATGAGTATTTTTATTAGTTTGTGGGCGTATCTAAACATTTTGTTTATAAAGACCTCCAATCTAATGTATTAAAATTTAATAAATCCTCAAGAACAGTAAAGTTATCAAGCAATGTTATAACACAATTTTATAGAATTTTTTCTTGCCTCAAATGACTCATTTTGGCCATAATATAAGAATCTCGACAACTGTGGTAAAACAGAAATACTTAGGCGTAAGCGAACTTGCCCTTCTATCAAACAGTATGGACACTGTTAATTAAAAATGTGTAAATCTTTATTATCTTGCAAGACGTATCCGAAAGTGATAGATGTCTCTCATCGGTTTCTCTGCAGAAAGAAGAGGGAAAAAATATAGGGTAGGAGGCGCTTGCTTAGTGCATGTGACCATAATTTACGTTGACGTCACAGAACTTGATGTGTTAAATATGTGATAGGTTATTTATGAGTCTCATCCATAGGAATTGGAGCGAGCTTGGTACTACTTTTGTGCAGAGAAAAAAACAGTAAGTGGTAACCATCGTACCCTTAGCTTTAAAATACAACTCATAAATCTAATTTCAGAAGAAAAAAAAGTTTTGTTTTAAAAACGGTTGATGAAGGGAAATTTTAGTTGACAGTATAATTATTGCTTTTTACCATCATAATTCCACGAAATCTTCAAGTCTAAGGTTGTTGTTCATTAGAAAGACTACTGATATACTAGGACTTCTAAATAATTTGTTTAAAAAATATAGTTTTGAATACTTTATGTAGGAACGGAAAATGCCCCTTACTGGCTCAGTGGTAAATCTGAAGGCTTATAATTCTAAAAACTTTGTTTCAATACCCATTGTGTAGCTTTGTGCTTAACAATAACCAAAACAAACATATCAACCTACAACAGACTCTTTTTCTATGCTTTATAATTATTTAAAATTAAGATGCGTATTTATTATGTGTAGAATCATTACCACACACACAGTTCTAAAATTTTACTATATGATCAGCTTGTTTCTTTAATTCTGAATTAATTTATGTTGATGCTAGATTGAGGAGAAAATGTTCATTCATTCATCACACTTCCAAATTCAGTGTGTTATTCCACAGTCCTATATTACTTACATCAATGATCATTCTCATTATACATGTTCAAGATGATATTAACTCTCGGCTCATACGAACCTGTACAAACTTTAATATGACCCACTTTTGTATGCAGATGTACTACATGTTTACTACTCTTTAACACTTTTTTAAAATGTAATGAATATTCAGAATATAGGGTTAGCATAGAATGTCATTCAAAGAGGTAACTAAGTTCCTTTTGCCCTAGAGTGTAATATTTACTTTCTTGTGGGAGAGATCTTTGTAGTAATGTTTTCCAGTAGAAGGTCAGGTGATACCTGATAGAACTTCACTTATATTATAATGGGAATAACTAACAGTCAAATGGGAAATGCACATCCATGAAAAGGATAGCATTATTATATCATTTATGTAATGATATTAAGTAATTCTTTAGAGAGTCTTAAGAGAGATATATTTCTTCTTCATTGAGTAATCTCTCCAGTAAAAGTGCCATAAAATACACATCTAACTATAATTATTTTGGATTAAATAAAAAATATGTTGAACATTGTGTACATTCTTTTTGTTTGCTTTGAACTTAGTTGAGATCAGAAAGTTCTAATTTATTTCTCTGAAATATATTTTCTGTTGACTCCTACTGTTATTTTGTGGCTCTTAATACATAATTCCTCTTAAAAAGAGAAATCAGTGTATCTGAGAATACCACAGAGTAGCTAGAAAGGAAAATTTAGTGTTATGAGTACAGGAGTTGTTTTTGCTTTATTTTCTGATTTTCTCCATTTAAATTTGTTTATTTTTGAATTTCACACAAAGCTACTAAATGGCTATCTGCACTAGCCACCCCTAATTTTCAAATGATAGACTAGAGAGAAGGCAGCTAGTCAACAACACCTGCCATCAACTCTTGGGTTGACGATCACATTATAATGCCTTCACAGCTGAAAGGGAAGGCATATTCAGGGATTGGATTCAAACACACTACCCTGAGATTACAAGTTGAATGCCCTAGCTGGGCCTTTGTATAGTGTATTTCCCTGTGCTCTTCTGAAGTCTTGTATTATTGAGCTGAAGCTTGATACTTGAGGAAATGACATCTTGTATTGAGATTGTAGAGTACCTTGACACCATTTTGTTACAACTGTGCTTTACTTGCATTTTGCTTTTCTTTCAACATTATTAAGGTTGTGCCTTTTCCTATTAGGAATTGACTCAGACTAATATACATAACAAATTGCTATTTATTATTACAATCAACAACACATAGATGTAAAACTAAATTTTGTTTCTTACTGGCAGAATTTATTTCTTCATTTACCTATCTCTCTCTCTCTTGGTTTGTTCAGTCTCTCTCTCACATCTCCTGGTTTTTTACTTTCTTCCATCAAACTTCTGTCTTTTATTTTTTTCATATCAAAACCTGTGCTGAACAAGTCTGTATCTTTCTGACCTTGTATACCGGTTTTTGTTATAATGTTTCATAATCGAAGGAGGTCCTGTTGTCTCTATACTGCTGAAGGAGAAAGACACCCCTCCAATAACTTCATAAAGACTTAGATTGCTGTAATCTTTTAATCACTTGTGGACTGACCAAAATCTGGTTGCTTTCTCAACTCTCTCAACCCTAACCAATGTTCCTTACACCTAACTTCATAACAGTTAAGAATGGCAGATCAGATTCTACCCTAACCATTAACCTCTGTGAACAGGAGTCCCAGATGACTAAAATTCATCACAGTGGTCTTTGGTATGGTAAGTCCATGACTAGATAGGGAAGTCTCTACAGGATTTCCAGGCATTTGCTGATCAAATTAGGCCAATCGAGCTCTGTTTGATGCCACCAGAGACCAGTAAAAAGACTGAAAGTGTCCCTTGGGGCCAATGTTTTGCCTGCTGGTGAGACACCAGGCACCAATTTTTAAAGTTGGTGATCCATGGAAAATGATGATCTTTTCCATGATGAGAGGTATACTGTCAGGGTGACCATTGATAACAGAGAAACCAAGGTTCATGTAGAATCAATGGATGAGCTACCTACATTAGCTTATTATTCTGCCACTGAAGGGCAGGGACTTGAGGCTCATTTTCAAGTAGAGGTCTATGAGCATGACCATTCCACCATACCCTCAATGTGTAGGACATCTCAGTTTGGTGTTAGCTTAGGATCTGTGGGCAAGAGGT